CGCCCAAACTCTCAGAAAGATTAGCAGCATCTCTCTAGAAATCTGGACAATCTTATTTCGGAATATCTTGTATACAGACACTTGTATATAGATACATATCTATTAAAATGTATACACATATATAATTATTGTTAACTATCGCTCGGTTAATCAATACGATAATTAAACTGATCAAAATTAAGTTAATTTTTGTTTTTTTTTTTACTTTCTCTTTCTATACAGAACCCTCATGCCCTACATACCTCCGTTCTTCTTTTTGCGTATCAAAACAAGTACCCGAATGTGATAAAATTGATTATGTGACTTCGTTAAGATTAATAAAAACCTCAACAGTAAAATAACAATTTTATGAAATGAAGAAAAAAGGAAAATATCCTCACGAGTTGTCCTTTTTTTGAGATAACTTACATAAAAAGACGTTTACATATCAAATTTTATATTTTTATATGGAGATGTAACCATATAGAACGAAAAAACTAGTTTTTTATAATTTTCCGATTTTTTAACTTAGTAAAAAATCAAATCAAATTCTGAAAAAGTAATTATACCTAGATATCAATAAGGATATCTTTTTTATTTTTTTTTTTGGTGCAAATTTTGATTCTAAGAAAATGAAAATAACAACTTTTAATCATTTTTTTCCATGATTACTACCTTAAAAAAAGTTACTACCTTAAAAAAATTGCGCGTGAATCACTGTTCAATTTTCTACAAAACATTTTTTTAAATTTTTTCAAAAAATGGGTCACATTGAAAAAAAATTAAATTTACATTTTCTCGTTAATTTCTTGAAAAAATGAGCGACACAAACCATTTTTATCAGATCTCGAAAAAAAATGATTTATCTATAAAATTCTATATTGAAATGTTTTGCTAATAAGTTGAAAGTTAATGATAGCTAAATTATTTTTGAATTTTTAATAATTTCATAACATAAGGTTTTCATTTTACAAATCATTGGAAGGCAGTTATTTTGATTCAATTGAATATTTATATTCATTTTGACAAACGTCGGTATTTAGTTTTCATCGCTATCGTCATTAATTACTAGGTATACTTCTTCTGCAGATTGGTTAGAATTTCGGTCTTATTATTTTTGATAGATATTAAACATGAGATAAATAATATATCACAGCGGCAACATGAGAACAACATCTAACTGTACATCTATCATTAGGGCAATCACATAGTATTTGTCGAAATTTTTAACTAATCTGTTCACTGCAGAAGTTTATTCAGCAATTAAGGAGATTCTCGTGCTAAGCTTCCAAGTTAATAGATAATTTATTCATAATAATATGTAAACGATTAAAATAATGAAATAAAAAGATAATTATTGTTAATTTTATATGTTACTAAATATTTTCAGAATGACAAAATTAAAGTTGTAAGATACTCATTTGATGTACACGCATCGTTCATTTGACATATTCTAGTTTTTTTCATTGAAGAATATAAAGAAAAATGTTAAAAAGAAACTGATTTTTATCATAAAGGTTTTTTTTTAATTTTGACTTCCTAAATACGATAATGTTAATAAAAAGTTCGGGATCAATAGGAGACACTTTGAAAATTAAGCATGAATATGATATATTTGAACAAGTTCTAATATTCTTACTTTTCAAAATGTTCCCCAAGTGCCACGAACTTTTTAATAATTTTATTTATAAGGATCACCTTCATTGTGATCGCAGAATCCATTATCTAAGGAATCAAAGATAATTAAATATATAATATATTACAATACAATAATAAATAATAATGAATAATAAAAAATTGTTACAGTGCAAATAATACTATACAGAGTGTCAAAAGTCTGCAAACGGTCGAATATCTCGAAAGTAAAGCATTTTTGAGAAAAATGTTTCAGACAAAAGTTATAGAGTTTAAAAAGATCTATTTACTGGTTAAATCCTCTTGACTTTGAGTGGCGTCGCCAAGGCCAAATCAAGGTCACATCGATTTTTTTAAATGGAACTTCCTATTTTTTATTACATATTCTTGTAACTTACTTCGAAAACTTTTCAAAACATAAAATATTTTTTCAAAGTATTTTTCGAGTTACAGTATATCATCGATATTGGCCAAAACGATGGCTAAAATCTCTTGAATATTGTTTAGAATTATGAATTTAGTAACATTTATTAAGATCAAAACTATTGGAAGGGAGGTTATTCTTCTTATTTTCATTTTTACAAAAAAAATGAATTTTTAGTGGAAAAATAAAAATAAAAAGAACAATCTCCAATGATCTTGATCTTGACAAATGTTATCTAGATCACGATCTTGAAACAACATTCAAGAGATTTTTTAGCCATCGGTTGGACACCTGGAGTAATGCTAATGACGATATTGTAACTTTTAATCCTCATAATCCTCAAAAAGCTCCTAAAGAAAAAATATTTTATTATAGTGTTTTGAAAAACTCTCGAAATAAGCTACAAGAATATGTAATGAAAAATAGGGGATTCCATTTTAAAAAATCGATGTGATTTTGACCTGGCGATGCCACCCAAGGTCAAGAGGATGTGATCAGAATAGATCTTTTTAAGCCCTACAACTTTTGTCTGAAACATTTTTCTCAAAAATGCTTTGCTTTTTCGAAATATTCAACCGTTTCTAAATTTTTGACATACCCTATATAATAGAATCTATTATGTATATGACCAGTAAACATGATTTTTGAGGATGATTCTGCTATATTCCTAAGGAAACACTAAGGCTAACAAGTACTATACGAAAAAAAACCAGTTCAAAAAATTGTTATACAATAATTAACAAGAAGTGCGATATAGAATATGTTAAAATTTTATATATGCGACAAACTCATACATAAGTTTTATAATTCTGAAAAGGATCATATTATATAAAGATCGAAAGGTTTGTATATTGTACATTGTTTAGTATATTTCTCATACAATAATATAAAATTAGCACACAAAAACTTGCTAGACTCAGATACAATTTTGAATAGTTATACCTTCAATTTGTAATGTAAAATTCTATAAATTTAGAATTAAATAATCTTCAAAATGACACAGTAACAGTCAATGAAAATTTTTTCTAAATATTATTGATATTAACTTTTATGTAATATTACATATATATTACATATATATTACATATACATTACATATATATTATAGATTTGTCTAATATTTTAACGCAAGAATCTTCTTAATAACGATAGCAATGAGAACTAAATACCGACGTTTGTCAAAATGAATACAAATATTAATTGAATAAAAATAACTGCCTTCCAATGATTTGTAAAATGAAAACCTTATGTTATGAAATTATTAAAAATTCAAAAATAATTTAGCTATCATTAACTTTCAACTTATTAGCAAAACATTTCAATATAGAATTTTATAGATAAATCATTTTTTTTCGAGATCTGATAAAAATGGTTTGTGTCGCTCATTTTTTCAAGAAATTAATGAGAAAATTTAATTTTTTTCAATGTGTCACCTTTTGAAAAAAATTTAAAAAAATATATATTAGAAAGTTGTGAAAGAGATTCACGTGCAATTTTTTTAAGATAGGTCAATATAATCAGAATGAGAAAAATATTTAAGTTATTTTCATTTTTTTAGAATCGAAATTCACACCAAAAAAGAATTTAAAAAATATCCCCATTGATATCTAAGTGTAATTGATTTTTCAGAATTTTTAGAGAATTTTGATTTTTTTACTAATAGCTTTTTTCACTGGCAGAGCTGGTGCGCACTCAATGCACTTTAAAGCCGTTGTACACAGATCGACATAAAAATGTTTAATAAAAATATACGTTTAATAAAAATATAGAAACAAATTAAATCGCAAAATCCTCAATACAGTTTATTGTATTATACTATTTGATAAAATATACATTGGGTATTTTATTAATTGAGATATCTCACTTTTACATTCAGATTAATGTACAACAGCTTTAATGTGCACTGAGCGTACATCAGCTCTGCCAATGAAAAAACGTTATAAGTTAAAATCGGAAAATTGTTAAACAATCGTTTTTTTCGCTTGGTTACATCTCAATATACAAATATAAAATTCGATATGTAAATGTCTTTTTATATAAGAGTTATCTGAGAAAAAATAAAAGATCAACTCAAAAAGCCATGAGGACATTTTTACCATACTTATTCCGCTAGAAATAATCCTTTTTCTATACAAACTATTAATCAAACAATACATAATTAAAAATAATGTTACATTTTATCTCTTTTTATGATTTAAATATTAATAACAAAATATAAAATAGTAATATAATAAAATATAAAAAAATAATATTATTTTATGTTTTTTTATAATAATAATATTTTATCAACATTATACATACAATATACAAGCTGTTCCAAACTTTTTGACACACTGCTTGTGGACAAGTAGAGCAGACTAAATTGCAGACTGAATTGAAGAATCGTCTACCATTTTGCGATTTTTGTAATTTTTCTTTTTAGTTGCCCGATTAGCAGAATATCTAAAATCGACACAGTTTTAAGATATCTGTGAGTTCTTTAAGAAACATCTTTAAGATTTTTAAAACATCTTTAAGATATTTCTTTAAAAATCTCTGAAAGATATCTTAAAGTTGTCTTAGATGTCGATTTTATCTACTTATTCGGGAATCTTCAGAAATTAATGTTTCGTTAACTATCGCGAAAATTATAAAATGATAGGAAATTTTCCGACTCATTTTAGTTTGCTCTACTTATAAGCGGTATGTGAAAAAGTTTAAGACACCCTATAATACTATTTATTCAAAAGAAGTTTTTAATTCTAATTATTTTTTCGTGTCAAAATCTTAAAAAACGTTAATTAAATAAAAATTGATTATTTCAAAAACTAAGCATTTCCGCAACTTTGCATTTATTGATTTGACTATGTTTAATTAGTACTACATGTCTATAAAATTGATCAAAATTTGACTTGAAACCTACCAAAGTTGAGCCAATATGTATAATATTATAATATTAAACTATAGCTTGCAAATTACTTACCCATTGCCGGTATGTGGATTCGTAGAGCTGTAGTAAATCGCAGATATGTCCGTCCAAGTTCGTGAACACAAATATGAAGAACATCGCTAATGTCAATGAGCATATCTGTATATATGTATATATATATATATATACACACACACACACACACACACACACACGCATGTACATATACATTCAATTGTTAAGAATTAATACCCTTTTTATACTTTTTCTTATTTCACAAGTTCCATATAAATTTTAATAAATGATAAACTATCTGACTATGCATTAAGGGCTGCCACACAAAATTCCACAACAGTGACAGTAAGTAAGAAGAACGTAAACTTAAGCTGATGAGCCAATCACGATATTGCTTTAGGTTTACATATTATAATTTAATCGAAATGGAAATAATAATAAACTTATCCATAACCTCGCAATAAGGTAAATTTCAACATTAAGCTGGTTGAAACTCACCTTATGGATAAATTTACTATTTCTATTACTCCATTAGAATACATAGATCACATCTTAAGTTTCACATCTTAAGTTGATCTTAAGGTTGCTGTTACAGAAATTTTGTCTGCCGCAGCCCTAAAGAAAATACACTTTATATAATTGTTTAAAAAATGTTACAAGCTTAGAAAAAAAAACATAAGAATTGATTTGTATTAATCTTTCATATTATTGAAATACTATGTATTCTGCTTTTTTTATGCTTTCCAAAGGATACGTTCAGTTTTTTCAATACGGCAAGTAATATATACACAAGCAGCCTGGTTGTGAGCTTGTTTCCTTCCACGAGTCAAATGATAACACAAAGCCATTTTATAGAAGTTCACTGATGTCTCAATGCAATTTTGATTTAAGCTAAAGTAAACATTTTAGATTTGTGAAAGAAATAAATAACATTTTAATGATAAAAAATTATTTAATTATAAATATATATTATGAAAAAAAGTTATTTACCCTAATTGCAAACAAAGATGTGTTATACCTTTCCGTGCATTTTGTAAAGTAATTCTTCTAGATTCTTTTCCATTAACATAATAGGCTATAAGCAAAAGAAATTTTATGGATAATTGACTTTACTATTTGTGAATATTTATCTTTTAAAGAAAATTTAAATAACTTACATGCACCAAAATTTGTAGCACTACCTGTGCTGTCATTAGCGACAAAATGTCCAGGTACTCTTACTTTACCAGAGGATGATTCTTCAAAAGTTGTTTGACTAATAATAACTGAATCTTCTAATACAAAACCACATTCTATACAAATTGCATCTCCACGTCCAGGATCAGTTTCAATATTGGTAGATCCACAATTGCGACATTTGTTTCCCGACATCTGATACAATAACATAAATATATAATATTTATTTAAAAAAATTGGCAATTGTTCAGTTCAGCGCCGCACCTCAAAAATTAATGAAATTAGACTTATTCGGTGCGTTTTTGCACGAAACGAAAGAATCTGACAACAATAAGCGTCGATCTGCCCTGCGAACCGAGATATTAATCGTTAAAGTTCACGATTATTCAGGTTAGAAAATCTGTCATGCTCACGTAACAATGAATATTATCGACTACGATCATACAATATGAGTGTAGTGTGCGCTGCGGTCAGTTTCTTTATATGAGAACATGATGGAAGCAGAGAGAAACTGAAGGCGCCTTTTCATGCTGATGCTGAACACAGACTTCTATTATAAGGGTCTGAGCACAAGAATTATCTTAAGAGAGACTTAAATTGTAGACGTAAGTAACGCACAAGGCGTATGATGTACGATTTATTGCCTTGCTTATCTCTTGAAGACACGTAATAATTTGTATGTCATACGTGAAATGCGTTATTTACATCATAATTTAAGCTTAAGTGTTATGACAATTCTTGTGCTCAGACCCTAAGGGACTCCGCACAATAAAAAGAATAGGGAAGAGAACAGAGAACAATATCCGTAATCCTTCCTTGATCAAACAAGGAGCCTTATTAGCTCCTTCCTTTTTTCCTTCTTTTTTTCAAGGGAAGTTAGGAGTTTCCTTGAGGAAATGTAGCCTTCATAACCAAGCAAATTTCCAAATTTAATTCATACCGGTCTTTTTACTTTCGATAGCTTTTAATTTAAATCTGATGCATCGATAATTATTTTTGCTTTTCCAGCTTTTTTTCGGAAATAAACTCCTTTAAAAACATTTTCTCCTTCTTCGTATAATAAGCATTATGGCGAATTCGATTGGAAGCACTGCATATTAAAGTTGTACACTAATTTGAGTATAAAAAAATAAAATGCAAATACTTCGAATTATAAAATACATATTTTATCTAACAGTACAATAAAATGTATTTATTGAATGATATATTTCACACAATTTAATCGATTTCTATATTTATTTACAAACATATATTTACGTTATTTTGTGTATGTACAGCGGTTTTAATGTGCATCAGTGCGCAATGAGTGTGTCCAATCAAATTCACTATTGGTTTTATTTTTGTCCATTATTGTTGCTGCTTAATCACGATCTTATTTAATCAACAATGCCTTTATAACTTTTATTATTCATAATTCACGATATTAGGTATGCATATACTATATTATGACATTGACTATCCTCAGTTCATTACTAAAATCCCTAAAATATTCCTTCCTTCGGGAAGGCAGAAATCCGTTTATAAAACAAGGAGGCCTTGGAGAATCGAGGAATTCTTCATGAAGGCTTTCTCTAGCCTTAAAATAAGAAAGGACTATGAATACGGATATAAGAATTTCAACCTATCAGAAACTGTGTATTCCACAATACATAATTTCTGATAGGTTGAAATTCTTATTCTCTGCTCCCTGTTCCTTTAATTGTGCGGAATACCTAAAGATGCTTTTCATGGGCATCAGTTGACGCGCGTACAAGACAATAGATTTGTCGCATGTTCCAGCATGCTCCAATGTGCTCTTGCTATAGCTTCTACTCACTTCGATGTGCGCGTTAGAGCGAATAAATGCTATGGTAGGAGCATTTTAGAGCATATTACAACATGCGACGCGAACAAACCTAATTTTATGACGTTATGTTAGTTTCAGCGTTGACGCTTAGAAGTTCAAATTTTTTTCAATTTCTAAGCGTTGCATACGAAAGAACTGTTTTTTGAGAAAAGAAGCGAAATATATTCATTAGATGTACTTAGTAAATTAGTCAATTATATATTACATCAAAACTATTTATACATATTCAATATACACTAAATGTATTGAAGAAATAAATTTCAGCAGATTTTAATACTTGCACGGGAGTTTGCAAAACTATGAATGAGCTGAGATAGTTAATCACAATTGTGTGGCAGAATCTCAAATTCTTGTAGATAGTAATTCAAGATATTTTTATCCACCATATAAGAGTTCATTCAATTAAAAGTATTGATTTTATAAAATTTTTGATTTTAAGATTAGAATTATATATTGAATAAAATTACTTTAATAGAATTTTTTAATTTTATAATCAGTTTGTACTTAATTCGACGTATTTTATCTTGAGTTTATCATTGTCATTGAGGCCAGCAAACAAGAATGAATTAAAATGGATTGAAATTTTTTTCTATTCGAATGCGTACTTTAAATAGCGAATACTTTTTTTTGGATTTAATGGATTCAATTAAATTTGGATTCAATTGGATTCAATTAAATTCAATTGGATGCAATTGGATTGAAAAACTGCATTTCCTATTCAAAATTTTGAATTGAACAGTATTCACAATTGTGTGCACAGAAAAAGCTAATATTATTTTTAGATTGAAAAGACATATACTCCATACAATTTTTATAAATGAATAAAAATGTTTTTAGAATTGCAAAAAGTTCAGTTTAACATTCGTGAATCAATATTTCTGAAAATCTGAATCTATTTCAATTTATTTGAATCCATTCTCGTTTGCTGGAAACAGAAACATAAACGAAACCCGAAAGAAGCGAATATTGGAACATTAGAACATTAGAACGTAAAGGAAGCGTCAATTAAACGTTAAAGAAACAAAAAAGTATAGTATAAATTCTTCGGCAAGCACGAGCAAAATGTTCATTAAATGTAAACGGAGCATGATTAGGCAGTCTAAAGAACGTAAACGGAGCATCATCGAGTTCTTAGACGAATGTGAATGAATTGTAATCGACTCAGGTACCCAGCAAATGAAAATAGTTTGAAACGGATTAAAATGGATTCAGATAGAAATACGAATTCATGAATGTTAAAATAAATCCTTTTCAATCTTGAATGCATTTTTATTTATTTATAGGGATTGCATAAAGCAAATATCTATGCCTTTTCAATCTTGAATGCATTTTTATTCATTTATAGGAATTGCTTAGAACATATCTCAGTGCCTTTCAATCTAAAAATAATATTAGCATTTTTTGTGTGTGCATCGTGAATATTACTCAATTCAGAATTGTGAATAGGAAGTACAAGTTTTAATTTAGTTAAAATAATATCAGCAATTCCTGTGCAATGTGAATACTGCTCAATTCAATATTCTGAATATAAAATGCAGTTTTTCAATCTAATTAAATAAAAAAAATTTATATTTAAAAATGGATCATAAATGCTACTTAAATTATTCAAAATTATAAGTAGGAAATTTTTCGTTTTAATCCAACTAAGTTTAAAAAAATTATAACGTAAAAATAATTGAGCTATATTCTTTTGTTTCTTTTTGATTAGAAGTAAAATTCGCGCGACATCGGCCAAAAGAGATTAGATTATCCAATACTTACTCAATGTTGTCTCATAATGTAATGTAAATTGTTTATATTTTATTATATCTATATAATTTCGTGCACTAGTTTAGCTAGTTGTAATTGAAGTAGAGAATGAATAACACATTTACTAAGTAGTGTCGAAGAAGTAGTGTAGCGGTACGTAGAAGATTCATAATCTAGAAGTCTCAGATTCGAATCCCACTAGATGTGTTTTTTAATATCAATTTGAAGTAGTTAATTTCAAGTATAATTATTATACCTGAAATAAATAAATCTTAAGGACCATTTACATAAGTCGCAAACGCAGAACGCAGTTTGCAAACGTATTTGCGACAACCAATCAAAAGCTGTTATTAGTACTATTGGCATTTCTGATTGGCTGTCGCAAATGCATTATGTAGACGGTCCTTTAGGAATAAAATTTGTAACCCTTAAATAAGAATGTTTTTTTTTTCGAATATTAAACTAGTGTCAGCTCGGATCCAATCCATTTCAATCCATTCAATCCGTTTTCATGAATTTAAAGTACGCATTAAAAAAATTTTAATTTTTTTTAATCCATTCTCATTTATCTACCAATTTGTTTATACGTAAAATTTCTACTCGTAGTCCTTTTCCTTTTAATTTGTTTTTTAAATTATTGAGACATTATACTATTATATAATTTTAATATCTATTAAGCAGAGACTCATCCCAACATCCCTTAACATTCAAAGTTTGTGGATCATCGAAGTAGCAATTCCTATGATTGTAGAGATCAAACATGCGAAATATAGTACAGCTTCAGGATGGGTGACTGAAAGCATCATAAAAATTAATTTTCTAATTTAGGTGAGAACGTTTTTTTTTATTATAATTTCATGTGTGCATTTTAGAATATGGTGTACCAGTTTATAATACTTATTTTAGCAATAAACTATATTAATTAATTTTATAGCTGATTGACAATTTGAATCTATTTGAATCCATCTGAATACATAAAAAATGAATCTATTTGAATCCATTTAAATTCATAAAAAAGAATTATGTTTTATTTCCATAGAATAGAATAAGGATTCAATTTTACCACGTTCAATTCTTTTTATCCACATGGATCAAGAATTTGGAATTCTAATTAAAATGTAAAAATTAAAAATTTTTAATCTATTTTAATCCATTTTCGAATACTGGATTACCGTTCTAGTCTTGATTCCAGTGGTTCCGATATAGTAGAGAAATTTCTTATGAAACAAAATGCTAGTTAACTCATTTCTAGTAAGAAATTTCTAGTAAGAAATCCATTCCGTCGTTCCGATTCCGTGTACAGTTGTGGACTAAAAGATTGTAACTCTTTTTTTATGGATTTCGGAATACAACCTATTCACCGAGTGACTGGTTCTATTTGTCGATTCGCGAATAAGAACCAATTATTTGGTGAGCAAGCTGATTTTCGAAATTCATCGAAAAAAAGTGTCTTTTGTTCCTGGTGATCGATTCTGTATCTTGAAACGAAGTGAAAATTACAAAAGTGAGCGAATTTACTAGAATACTAATAATTTCATTGGTCTAGTAAATTTACTCATTTTTGTAATTTTCATCTTGTTTGAAGATACAGAATCGACTCTCCTCATCGTAGAGAGGATGGCACATTTAAGGTGCCTTTTCTTGCTAACGTTCGACGCTCATTTTCAGTGTCAAATAATGATCAAAATTAACGCTTGATATTCGTTAATTTCTATCATGATTTATTTTAACGAAAATGAGTGTCGGCATGAAAAGGCATTTTTATTATAGGAATATTAGCTAGGCTACGTAGGAAACTTTTATTCGAAATATATAGTACACAATGTATAGTATATAACATATAAAGTAAAATCTTCCTCGGAGAGGAAGTTTTGGAACGTAGTCTAGAAAACGAGCGTTCAGCGTCGCATGAAAAGGCGCCCATAGAATCTCTAGGTTGGATGAGTTGAAATGCAAATAGCGTTACCCATCTATGGTTTGGTTATTATTTTTCCATTCAATGACGTAGGTTGCCATATTTTTTCTGCGGATGCCTGCTAGGGGGGGTCAATCGAATTGTTGGTGTTCGGAGATGGCTGTACAAGATGGTTTATGATAACCAAATGGTGCGCGTAATGAACGATTGAAGAAGAGATCGAAAACAGGGCGCATCAGGTACATTTCGATAGGTACATACTCATATCGATGTAAAGATTGCTTAGAAGAGCATCTCGGCAAGAGATAAGCCTTTCGCTCGAAACAGCTTCTTATGCGATAAAAGAAAACTTTACGTCACGAGTTTATTCGCGAATGGCACTGTGGTTGTGTGTGTCTGTGACGAGGTTATAAACCTAAAATTTAGGACGATACGCAACAAGGAATTTTGTGTCCGTAAATGTTTGACGACAATGTTGTATCGCGCCGCGCATTCGTTCATCTCACGTTTCGCAATCTTCCTTTATTACGATTGTCTTATAGTCCACATTCGTGAATGCAGTGTCCATCTCGATACACTATTTTTACCCCTGTACTTTTTTATTCAGACGTGTTTCTCTTGTTGCACGTTTTCGCCGAATATTTCATCTATCTTTGTAGCAGTTACGTAATTTTCAATGTGAATGATTCAGATACATATGATCAAGAGTGAAATTAATGAAATTGGAATTTCGCACATTTAAGCGTATCAGTGGATTTGTTAAATGATAAAAATAAAGAGGATGAAAGGAAAAATTCACTTTATTTCATTTTTTTTTATGTATTGATTGATTTCTTTGAAACTTTACCATTTCTTCTAGAAGAAATCCTTCTCTCGATATTATTAAACTAGGATTATTAATGTTTTCAAGTTATTTAGATGATGTTGGAACATATTCACGAAGGAAAGAGTTTACACTTTTAAATTTACATTTATCTATTTGCTCCTAGCTATTTTTATTTTCCATTTTTTTCTGCCTGTGTATTTATGTATTTGTTTTTTTTTTAATATTCCTTTAATTATCTCTTTATCTTACTCCTTTTTTTCCTTTGTAATCTTTGATTTATGACAAAAATGCAGCTGTATTGCATAAAAATGAGAAATAGATTTGCTTTCTATGCATTTATCTCGGAAAAATGTTAAAATCTTATAATTAAAATATATTACATATATGTCTACATATATGTGAAATTTGTATACAAGAGATTGTTACATTGTACAACTGTAAATATCTGAACCTTTGAAGAAATTATTTGTATTACAGGAATTTTAGCGAAACATAATGTCGTATAAGGAGGTAAAGACGAGTAACAACAATGGAAATGTCATCTGTAGATTGTGGTAAAAAACAGCATTATCTACAAGGCGACATGTCAGATTTGTCACGATATCTTTATGGTCATCTTCCTCCTGACGTTATGCTGAAAGGACTTTCCAACAATGGTAACAATGCAACATTTTATATATATATATATA